CCCCCCCCGGGGCTGGGGCTGCAGCGAGGGGGTCCCCAGCCCGCATCACCTGCCGCTCACCCCCTTCTCCTCCCTCTCCCAAAGGGATGGCGTCCCGTACTGTGAATCCGACTACCATGCCCAGTTCGGCATCAAGTGTGAGACCTGTGACCGGTACATCAGCGGCAGGGTCCTGGAGGTGAGTCCTGCCCTGTCATAGGGACCATGCACATCCTGACCAGAGGTGCGTGCCTTGGGGAGGCACGGGAGTTTCATCATCCTGCACCCTTCTCGTGCTACCCTCGGTGTCTTGGGGCCATGGCTCTTCCTGGGGTGGGTGTGTGGACACAGTGTGACTGCCTTTTCTGGAGGGTGGGAGTGGGAGTGGGGGAGGGAGCACCACCATGCTGCAGACCTTTGGCGAGGTGGTTTGGGTACTGGAGCTCCAGAAGCAGCCAGAGCACGCAGTGGCCTGGGTGTGCAGGGACGTGTCTGGAGTCCAAGATGTGAGGACACTAGCCTCAACCAGGTCTTGCCATGCCTGGCTCAGGAGTGTCCCCACCGTGCTCGCCCCAGCCCACCTTCTGAGCGCATCCCTCTGCAGGCAGCCTGCCTGTTGCCTTGGAAACACATCCAGCACGGCTGCCCACTGCGGAGGAGCCCAGATGAGGGGCTGTAGCACCCTGCCCGTGGGCAGCCGTCACCGCAGCACACCCCTTTGCAGGGCAGCCACCAGAGCAGGGGGTCCCCTGCCCTGGGCCGAATCCAGAGGGGGCTTTGCTCGTCGCCTTAATGGCCAGCAGGAGCTGCTCCAGTGGAGCCACCAAAGGATGTAGGGATCCCACAGCAAGACATGGATGCAGGTGGCTGTGGAGGATGTTTTGGGCAGTGGCAGAGCTGCACAGCCAGTGAGGGGAGTGGGGTTTGCTGTTGGTAGGGACAGAGAAGTCCATCAGGGCTGGTCCTTCTGTCAGCTGGGCGGTCATGTCCCTGCTCCTGGAGGGGAGGTGTCCTGTCATGCTTTGTTTCTACCCCAATGTTTGCAGGGGCTGGGGAGAGGGGAGTGAGAGCCAAAAAATCCAGTCTGAGGGTAAACTAAAGGCTCAGGAGGCACAGAGAAAGATGTCAGAATGAAGCCTGTTGTGATTTTTAGATCCCCTGGTGATACTATGGAGCTGGGCTGTGGTGACATAGAGAGACAGCAATGCTGAAAGCGTGCTCAGTCACTCCTGGGACCTTCCCTTCCGCATGGCTGAGTGGGAGGGAGGTGCTCCTGGGGCAGCACTGGCACCCACTACTCTGCCATCCCCAGACAGCAGCGATAGCAAGCTGTATCCCAAAACCAGAGGTATCACGGCTCTGCAGTGAGCCAGACCACAGGTTCTGTGGGCTGCAATGGCTCTGTAGGTCTCCAGCCTGCTGGGGGCTGTTCCTGGACATCTCCAGCCTGTTTCTCTCACAGACTACCAAGCAGTGGTCACCCCCTCTGGCCCTGCCAGCTGGGCTCACCTGAAGGGACCTAGCCTGGCCAGGGAACCTCTCCTGAAGCTGGTGCCAGGAGCCCTCCAGCATCTTCCCCCTCTTCAGGGAGCTGTCTCTGCCTGGGAAGGCTTTCTGCTGACTCCAGGCTTCGGCAGCAGTCCCGGCGCTGACCTCTGTGAGCCTGAGCTCGGCACTGCAGCAGCTGCCATGGGCCGGCTGCCCATCGTGGGGCAACTTGATCAGCAAACAGCTGAGCTGAGCAGGGTGAAGCCAGAGGATCCCCTGAGACCGAATCCCTGCTGCTGCTCCCCTGGGCAGCCCAGTCCCCGATAACCCTGTGCCAGGACAGAGCATCCTCAGGCACCCAGCAGGGCAAGCAGGCTGGGCATTGCACGGGGTGGGATGCTCAGCAAATAAGAGCAGGTGAGAAGAGCCAGAAGGGACCTGGGAGCCCTGTCCTGAGCTCGGAGGCTGTGCTGCCAGCCTGGCCGGCACTCTCGGGCACCACTCTCCGGGCTTTTTCCTCACTTGGTGCAACCACAGTGGAGTCAGGATGAGCGTAGGATGTTCCTGCTGCTGCGTGTCTGAGGGGACAGAGGGCAGCTCTGCAGGGCACGACAGGGTGCGGGTGGTGGCAGCCCACATGCAAGCTGGAGCCAGCCCTGGGGTGGTGGCAAGGAGGCAGCCTCCCCCGCTCTCCCTTGCCGCTATCTCCCCTGGCTGTTCTCGCAGCATTCGCTCTACGTTCCCTCCCGCTTCGTCCTCCGCCTCTTCCCTGTGCGTTCTATCCCAGGCGGTGCTCCCAGCACCGGTTCTCCCTGGCTGGAGCGTCTGACCAGCCCTGCCGGGCTATGGGAAGAGGCTGGCTGAATCCCACGTGATGCTCCAAACGGCCACCATCTTGCGTTAGCACCTTGCCTGCCGCACCTGCGCCCAAGCAAGGGAGCCCTCCCTATGCGATGGCACTCCAGCGGGCTGGAAGTAATGCGTCTCAGCGCCAAGGTGCCACCTCCTCGCAGGCACTGTCACGGAGCCAAGAGGAGCATCGCATTTGGGTGCCCAGGGGACTGTGCTGGGCAATCACCACCAAGCCCGCGGGCACTGCGGGCATCCCTTGCCTCCCCAGCTACATGCCCACCTGTGGTATTGAACCTTATCTCCTGTAAAACCAGAGGATTTAATTGTCTTCTCCAGCGGAGCGCAAAATGGAAAGGGTGCCTTTAAATCATTTTAGGCCTTAAGGAGTCTTCTCGTGCTATGCCGGCAGCCTCCGGGCTCTCCCAACCGCTCTGAGCTGCGTGGCCAGGCTTGGATGATTAATGAGTCTTTAAGGGACTGCATGTGATAACAAGCAGGTCTTTTCCCTCGCCGCCTCTACCAGCCTTTTACCAGCTGTAGTATTAACCAATGTAAAAAGAACAAGGTTTGTGCGCGTTTCAGAGAGTTGTTCCTCGAGTAGCGGTGGGTGTTGGGAAGTTGGGTGGTTTTTGGAGAAGGTCTGCGTTGAAATGAAAGGCGAGTACATACCGCTGGGGGAGCAGCCAGCCTCCCTCCCCATCCACACCCCCATCTGCGAAGCGTCCCCTTTTGGCAGTCTGACCTGTCACACACCCCGGATACCATAGATAGGAAAGGAAAAGATGTATACATTTTTGTTTTTTTTCCATACTGTCAGTAGAGCAAGCCTTTGGGAGTACCAAGAGGGTCCAAGAGCATCAAACCCATCCCAGACTCAGCGAGGGACTAGGGAAGGTGGCACGTGTCCCTGTGTTGGCTGTCTCCAGCCAGCTGGAAATACAAGTGATGGGAGCTGCAGACACTGGCCTGAAGCGGTTAGGCGCTGGGCTTGCGCTGGGTTATTTTTCATCTCTTTTTTTTCCCTGTGTTTACAGCCATCTCTGCCAACTGATGCAGCTCAGCGTGCCTGCCCTGGGTGCACGGCAGTGGCTGGCGGGTGCCCGCTGCAGAGGGGTGATGGCCGGCAGGCAGCTGCCTACGCAGGGCTCTGGGCAGGAGGAACCGGCTGTCCTTAGGGAGCCTTCACCTTGGCGAGGCGGTGGGTCACCTCCCTGGAGAAATGGGCATGAGACGCGATGAGCCCGTTGGCACAATGTCAATGACACCGCGGGTTCCAGACGAGGCTTTTCGGGGTAAAAAATGGTTTAGGATCTGTATAGGCTGGAACCAGCTGGTGTGTTTGCTCAGGGTGGTGAAGCCTTTGGTGGAAGCCTGTGCCACGCGTGGGGCACTACTCCGGGCGGCTGCGTGCCGGGGCCACCGCAGGGTCCTCTCCTGTCCCACCAGAGAGCCTGTGGGACCAGGGCCTTCCTTGCTTCTCTCCTGCATTCATGGTGGCTCTGTCTCTGCAGCCCTCCACTGGTGATTTTCCTGCCCTGTTATCAAGCTTTTGGGTGTGAATTGGGGGTATCTGGGCTGTGGGCTCACTCGGGCCAGCCCAGGAATACGTTGTGCTGCTGGCAGCTGGCACAGGGGGGTGTCTAGGGTGCAGGGCTGTCCCCTCCCTGGGTTGAGGTGCACTGCAATGAAAGGAAGAGGGGTCCAAACTCTCCCACCCGTCTCCCCTTCCTCCCTAAAACCTTCCACTCATTTTTGGTATAAACTGGAAGGGCAAAGCCACCAGCTGCACCCCAAAGGCATTGAGTTGCAGATTGATTTTTATGGGCAATCACCTGTCACGTTCTTAGTTATCCTCACAGCAACTTTTCCTGTTGATCCTCCCTATTTCAAACCGGCTCCAGCCCCCTCTGTCATAACCCTCCCCTCTGTCAGCCAGAGCCTCGTCTTCCTTCTGCCGCCTTAAATTATCCTTCCTCTTCTCTTGGATTATTATGGGAGTAAAATGTCCTTTGGGGTCGAGCTCCAAACAGCGCAGCCCAGATTCCTCCTGCCCTGAGCCAGCTCCTGCCTCCCAGTTCCCAGCCCAGAAAATGAGCCTGTAATTGAAATGCTAGCAGACACTTTGAGCGGAATCAAGCTACCAATTAAAGCTGTTATCCCTGTCAAAGAGCGAAGGGAGCAGCCCAGCTCCCGCTCTGCTGGGGAATAGCGTTTCGCTAGTGCTGAAGTTTGGGCACGGCTTCACAGAAGGAGAACAGTTTTTTCAGGGCGAGGGGGTGGCAAGTGGGTCTGACAGCAAGAAGAAGCCTGTGCTTTGTGAGGTTTCTCTTTGGGACCCTTCTTCTCCCTTTACCGCTTCCCGGCTGCAACATCCTGGGCCAAATTTGGTGTTTCTCTTCAAAGCTGTAGAGGGATGGAGGTGGTGCAAAGCATGGCTGCTTGGCGGAGCGTTACTGCAGAGGGCCTCGGTTATTTCCAGAATCCAAGGACAATTAGGGATAAGGTTTGTAGGGGAACCTTCCTTGGGGGTTTGAGGCCTTCTGGCTCTGCTTTCCTGTGTGTTGGACAGTTCAAGGGGAGCAGAAGGTTCCCAGTCTGACTCGTAGTCCAGCAAGTCAGAAGCATTAGTGATGAAGTGGTCTCTGGTTTTCTCCGTGTGTGGTGACGGTCTCTGAGGCCACCCTGGGCAGTGTTTCCCCCTTCGCCTTGTCATAGTCTGCAGCAGCAGGTGATGCCGGGGCCGCTCGCCCTCAGGGATGCGAGCGGGTCACCCCTCTTCTTTGCTGTCCCTTGCAGGCAGGAGGGAAGCACTACCACCCCACCTGTGCCAGATGTGTCCGCTGCCACCAGATGTTCACGGAAGGAGAGGAGATGTACCTGACAGGTAGGGATCCCGCTGCAGTGAGGAGGGACTCCCCTGCCCCGCATCGGGGCATGGACCAGCGTGGCTGTGCAGAGGTGTGCTGGCTGCGGGGCCTTTTGGGGTTTGGGTCCTCATGGCGATCGGGGCCAAAAGGGTGTCTCTGTGCAGCAGAGACCCAGTGCCTACCAGCAATGCCAGAGACCCCTCTCCACTGCTCCCCAGCCCCTGCGCTCTTTCTGAGCTGTGCAGTGATCATTTCTCTCCATGAAACCTGCCCTGCCACTGAACTGGAGGAGACTTTGTTCCTCGTCAGTAGGTTTTTTTGCTCCCTATGAGTCTCCCAGCACCTCTGGGCATGCCTGGATGTGTCCCTGGCCTGTGCTCAGCGAGTAGGGGCTGGGATGGGTGCAGGGTGACTGGTTCCCCGCTCTCCTCAGCCCCAGGGGAGGTGGTCCAGGACCCCTTCCCCACTGCCACCAACTCCCCCCCCCCCCCCCATCCAGTTTACGCTGTGAGCAGCACTGGAGGGGTAAGGCGCTTGCTTGGCACAGCTGGATGGTTTGGGTTTGGTTCTGGCAAGGAGCTCATCCCTGCCTGGAGCTGCCTTAGGGACTGTTTCCAGCGCAAAGGGAGGGTTTGTTTTCTCTCAGTAGCCCATGTTTGCCTGTCACCTTGTGTCATTAATGATCCCGTGAGTGGCAAAGGGGGAATTGTGCACTAAGAGAGCCAGGGTCCCAGCGGGGTCCTGTCGTGGGCAGCTCAGGACGTGCCTGGGCAAAGCTCCGTGGCTTTGCTGGTTCCAGCCCGGAGAGCGTGCGAGGGGCTGTGGGTGCCCCGGGCTCGGTGTGATCCCGCATTTAACCAGCAGGAGCTGCCTGGCTGAGCACTGGTTGGGCTGGGCCAAAATCACAGCCGGGTTTGCTGTCGCAGTTTAGTAGCCTTGGCTACTACATCTCAGTGCTTGGGAGCTTTTTATTTTCTTAGTATGGCCACGCTGTCCCCAGTGCGCACATGCCTGTGGGTGCACAGTAGTGGAGAAGGCGTCCAGAAGAGCCAGTGGGACCCAGGAGGTGACCCCCCTCTGCATCCTCGGGGCTCACCACCTCCCTCCTGCTCTGCTCCCTATGGAGAGACTCCGGTTCCTACCTGGATCCCCCCAGGAGCTGCCCCCGCAGCGCGCAGGGGTTGCACTCCTGTAACACTGGTTAATGCAGCTGCTGCTGGAGAGGGCACTGACATGTCCTTCCTGGGGACCGTGGGTGGTGACGGAGGCGGTGACAGGGACAAGATGGGACACCCCCTTGGCAGGAGGAGCCGGACGATCCCTAGCAGCAGGGGTGGGCTGTGCGTGGAGCTGAAACGCTTTCCCTTTGCTGTGTTGCAGGCTCCGAAGTGTGGCACCCCATCTGCAAGCAGGCAGCCAGAGCAGAGAAGAAGCTAAAGGTAGGCAGCAGGGCGAGGGGCATCTCCGAGCGGTGGCATGTCCCAGGTGATGTCCCCGAGTCCGGGCTGGAGGTGAACTGCTGTGGCAGTGTCCAAGCCCAGGGTGGCTTCCTGAGGCTGGTGCGAGCTCTGTCCCCGCCGCCCAGAGGATGGCGGGTGGCCATGGCGGAGGCGCCAGCCCACGCTGTGCTCAGGGAGGGGACACGGCGGTCCCCTCACCAACCCCTCGAGCTGCTGCGCTCTCTCTGCGCCCATCTGGCCACTGGCACAGCTGCCTACTGGGTCTTGCTGGGCCACTCGCCTGACTCCGGATCTGGCCCCAGGAGAGGCCAGGACGCGAAGCTGAACGGCAGAGCAGCCTGCAACGGCCGTGGGCACCAGCAGCAAGCAGAGGAAAGAGCGGAGGAGCTGGACCTTGAGTGAAATTCAGCCCCACAACCAAAAATTTGCTTGCATTGTGCCTGCTCAGGGGTCCCTCCCCGCTGTGCTCTCACCTGTCCTCTGCTCTTCTGCCTCCACAGCACAGAAGGACGTCAGAAACCTCCATCTCGCCCCCTGGTTCCAGCATCGGCTCCCCGAACCGCGTCATCTGCGTAAGTACAGCTCTGCCCTTCGTCTCTGCAGGGCAGGACAAATGCGCCAGCCCCGGGAAGGGGAACAACAGTTCCCAGCACTGCTCCGCAGCGTGAGGTGTCCCCCAGGAACGAGCCCAGCATTTGGGGACAGCGCAGATGAGCCGTGCCCCCTCGCCCCAGCAGCATGCCGTGCTGGCAGTGCTGTTGGCACAGACCGGGAGCGCTCAGAGGGGCACAGTCCCCCCCTCCCAGCTCCTCTGTCCCTTCCTGCTGCCTCTTGGGCATCTCCTCTTACCTCTTCCACTGCTGGCGTGATGGTGGGCTGTCTGCTCTGTGCCGGCTCCACACTGTGTGCTCCAGCCTCCCCTTCCTTCTCTCCTCCTCTTCCTTTCTGTCTCTCTGTCTCTCCCTCTCCCTAGGCTAAAGTGGATAATGAGATCCTTAATTACAAAGACCTGGCAGCTCTTCCCAAGATTAAAGCCATCTATGAAGTGCAGCGTCCTGACCTCATTTCCTACGAGCCCTATCACAGATATACATCGGATGAGACGCTGGAGAGATATAGCTATGGGGAGGTATTGAGTCTCGATACGCCCAGTGCTGGGCTGCGCAGGGAGTCGGGCTCCGATTCAGGGTGATGGGGGAAACTATGTGGGTTTGCTCACTCCAGTGGGAATACTGCAGGGAGGCAGGAGCGGGGGTAAGACCTCTCTCGGAGGCTCCCTGTCACTGGGAAGAGGGCTGGAAGGGTACCCACGCTGCTGCTGCAGAGTAAGAAGGAAACCAGTGACCTTAGCTGATGGTTGCACCCTGCCCACGCTGTGCAGCACGCCCGACGCGCGGGGACAGGCGGCACTGCGTGGAAGGAGATGTCACCCTCGGGAGGGACATGGCAGGGAGCTCGCCCATCGGAGCAGGAGGGGAGGAGGGCATGCCGCACACGTGCATCCCTTTGGGGCGGAGGGACAGACGGCTGGCAGGGCAGCCCAGAGGCTCAGCCCGAAGCCCAGCCCCTGGCAGGCAATCGCCCTACATGCAAGGTGCCAGCTCCCCCTTAGCTGGAGTGGGGAGTAAGGCTGGCCCAGGCCACCCAGCCTGTTGGGTGCTGGTCCCACAGCAAGTGGAAGGGAGCTCGGTCAGTGTGGTTTTGCAAGCGTGTGATAAAGTGATGCCCAAGCAGCACGTGGCATGGGAAGGGGCTGCTGGGTGATTGCAGTGAGTCTGGAGAAGAAGAGGGTCTGAACAGCTCAAACAGAGATAGGGGAACCCGAGGTGGTCCTGGAAGAGGACTTTGTAATGGCCAGCAGCAACATCTCTTACGTTTCCAGTCCCAAGGTTTCTCGCCAAGCCTGCCTTCCTCCAGCACACCCGGTGACCGTGCAGGCGGCATGGCCGTGGTGTGCTGTGGAGCACCACGGGGCCGGCAGCGCCTTCTCCCCTTGTAGCCGCATGCGGTGAGGGGCTCCACCAATGTCTCTGATTCGGGAGGTGCCATCCTCGCGCCGGCTTCCCTGCCAGCCAGGGGCTCCCTGCCCAGCGTCCCACCATGGTTTCACTCCGGCTGTGCCACCAGCCGCCCTCACTGCCTGGCAGCTGCCATGAGGCTGTAACACGGGGAAAACGAGCCGCTCTGGGACCTCAGTCTGTCACTGCTCTCCTTAACTGTGTGCTGTCTCTCTCTCTTTTCCCACCCTTTGCCTCCTGCCGCCTCCAGTCCCTGGGGACCCTCTCCCCGTACTCGCAGGTAATGCCCCCGGCGGGCAGAGAGAGGTCTGTCACCTGCTGCCACCGCAGGGCGTCCCTCTGCCCAGGGACCACGGGGCTCTGCTGAATGTCCCCCTGCCTGGCTGCTGTCCCGAGGTGGGGGGAGATGGGGTGACCATCCTGCAGAGGGTTCTGTCCTTCAGGCCCCCGGGAGAGCGGCGTGCAGCCCTCCCTGGCAGAGCAGACCCGGGCTGCGGCTTCTGCCCTGTGGAGGGGGACATGAGAAATTGGGAATAAGCTCAGGCGAAAGGGACAATCTCCAAGCAAGGGGTTGAAATCCTCTGGCCAGATGCCATTACCTGGTCCCAAGCTCTGGGCTTCGCTGTCTGCGATTTGGGGGGGGGAGGGGGAGGCAGAGCAGCCTGGGGACCCCCTCCAGCCACGGAGGTGCAGAGTGTGCACCCTCCCAGGCTGCCACAAGCCCACAGATGCTCGGCCATGGGACACTGCCCCACAGGGCTGGCAAGGCACTGACCTGCCTCATCCCTCATCCCGCCAGCTCTAACTCCCCTTCTCTCCGCACCTTTCCCGGTCCCCAGGACATCTATGAGAGCTTTGACACCCGGCAGAGGCGAGCCTCCAGCCCTGGCTACATCGACTCCCCCACCTACAGCCGCCAGGGCATGTCCCCCACCATCCCGAGGTCCCCCCATCATTTCTACCGCTCAGGTGAGGATTTCAGCTGCAACTCCAGGCTGGGCTAAGATCAGATCCCCAGGTAGAGCGGGGATCATCAAACTGTCCCCTGCTTCTCCTAGAGGACCTCAGTGGCCCCTCCTCTGGCAAGCAGGCAGGGGGTTGGGGGGTCCGTGGGGGCATGACAGCAACAGGAGCTGTGGGGCAGTGACCAACTCTGCTATGTGCATCCTCCAGTTCCCCTGACTCTCGTCTTGAGAGCAGCGAGGAGAGGCTGAGGAGGGCTTTGTCCTGGCTCAGACCTGACCTGAATGAAGGATGGGGTGGGGAGGGAGGTGACCTTCAGGTCCAGTGAAGACCCCTCAGCTGGCTTGGTAACTCTGGGAGGGGCATGCACGAGAGTGCTTGTGCCCAGCCAGTGCTGCAAGGGGGATTCTTACACACACACACACGTGTGCACGCCCTGAAGCGTGTCGAGGGGGAGCAGAATGTATCTGTGCCATGTCTCCTGTCCTTCGGAGCCGGGGAGGAACAACTGGGAAAATCCAAGGTCAGTAAGTCCAGAGGTCTCGCATTCCCCGAGCTACCCCTGCGCTGCACCGCCGAAGGCCCGTCACCGTTTGCCTCTGCAGCACGCTCGGCTTTTCTCTCACCAGCAGCGGGGCAGCGTGCTGCCCTGTAACAGCACCTGCACACGGGGTTTCCTCTGCATCTCACCTTCCTCTGGAGATGCGGGAAATCTCCCCCTGCTCCATCACGCCCCATGCTAGACCACGGACTGGTGCACGTCCCTGTCACCTCCACCACTGGGTCGCCCTCCGCTCTTCTAACACCGCTGCATTTAACACCCGTTTTCTTCTGCCTCTTGTTCTCTCTCTTGGTCACTTATGGCTGCTTCTGCTCGGCACCGCGTAGGCACCGAGAGCGGGCGCAGCTCCCCCTACTATAGCCAGTTAGATGTGAGGTCCTCTACTCCAACCTCATACCAAGCACCCAAGCATTTCCACATCCCAGGTAGGCTCTGGAGCGCCCCGGTCCCCGGGGAAGCGCCGTGTTTGTGGCATGCCCGCATGTGCTGTCCTCCCTGTGTCGCATGCGTAGCTCCGCCGCCTGCCTAGAGCCAGCTGGCAGCAGGATCTACCCCTGGTAAAGGCCATCCATAAACAGGACCTGCAGCTTGAACCCTCCTCCCTCCCCATCACCACCCAGACGTCCCAGAGCCGCCCGGAGTCTGCTTGATCCTTGCAACATCCCTCTTCTTCCTCTTCCCTGACCTTCCTTCACCCTCCACACGAAGACGAGTCCCCTGCAGACAGCTTGCCCCCTTCCCTGCCTCCCCCTCCAGGATCACGAGCCGAAGCGTGTCTGCCGGAGGCCTTTCCGCACCCATCTGCTACAGATGACTATTTTATACTCCCCCTAGGGCCCGCTGCTCCCTCCCCCCAGAGTCTTCTGGGCTTGCCAGATGCCTGCTCCCCTTCTGCAGGGATTGCAGGGGGCCACCAGGTAAGGGCCACCACCCGCTCCCGGCCACGCAGAGCCCACGGGGACGGGGACGGAGTGGGCAGAAGGGGAGAGTGGGGAGGGAAGCAGGCAGAGCTGCCCATCCGTCCTTCAGCGCAGGCAGAGGGGCCAGAGCCCCACACCACCCTGCTCAGCTGTAGGCATCTCCCACCACCCTTGTCCTCCTTCAAAGCGTGGGACACTCCCTGATGTATAGCTGATGCCCTGGGACAGCACCATGAGGACACCCAGAGGTTCCCCACCATGGTCCCCTGCTCCCATCCCATCCCTGCCAGGGCTCTGCCCCGCTGCCTGCCCTGCCCTCCCGCTGACGGTCGATGGTTTATGGATGGCCCCCTCCCTGCTCCGCCAGCTCTGCTGCCTGGCCCCTGTGCGGGGGCTGTAGCTCTCAGCACCAGGCTCCAGCTCGCTTTCCCTCCCAGCTCGCTCTTTTCTCTCTCTGCTGCGGAAAGAGGCTTTGGCTGATGTTGTTTCACCCCAGGTAGATTGCAGGTGGTTCTTCCAGGCGCTGGCATCCCAAGAAACTGCACCAGCGCGAGGCGTGGTGCGTTGCTGCCGGCTGGCAGGGGTGGCCGGTGGTTCCTGGCTGTGCTGCTCCCTCCCGGGGCCGGGAACCCGCCGTCCCGCGGTGCATGCTGACGCTGGGGCGCTCACTGCATGTCCTCTGTGCGCACCGCTGCCCGAGGGCGGCCCCGGGACCGCGTTCCTGCTGCCCATCCCGGAGCCTGCCGGGTCCTGACCTGGTGCTGCGCTCCTGTGGGACGCGTGGACCCAGAGGCGGTTGTGTGATGTGGTGTGGGGATAGCATCTCCTGCAGGACCTCTGTCCTGACAGCTCTCAGCACACCCACGCTGACCTCCCCTTCCTCCTTTCTTTCCTTCTTTCTTCCCTTTCTTTTTTTTCTGCCACCAGCTGCCGGCGAGAGTAACATCTACCGGAAACCCCCCATCTATAAGCGACACGGTACTGTCTGCCCGCTGCGCACCGGGCTCTGCGCCGCGGGGGAAGCGGGGCAGGGTACCAGCGCAGGGCTTGGTCTGGCTGAGTCGCGTTTAGGGGCAGGGTGGGAGATGGGAGTGGGCGTCAAGGCGAGATGTTGGGGTGCTGGGCTTTGGTGGGCCGATGTTCCTGCTTCCCGTCCGGGCAGCAGAGTGTGGGATTCAGTGCAAGGAAAAACACAGGTTTGGAGCGCATCCCTGTTGTGAGGGATGGAGGCGAAGGCTGTCAGCGGTGCCGGGGACAGGGATAGCTGTGGGAGGGGGAGCAAGGCCATGGAGGGGTGGCAGAGGGGGGAGAAGGGGGGCCGTTGCTTGCTGATGCCAGGAGCCAAAGCATCCTGGGGAAAGGGATGAAGAAGGTAATTTGCAGTTTCACTTGGAGCCCTGGAGAAAAATCACAGCTCATC